GAAGCAACAAGTTAATGGCTATTACATCTATATCTCCCATTCACGGCCACCAGCAAACACATCAAACCTGGTGTTTCAGCAATTACTTCTTGGCCGTTTGGATTCTTTAATCAGAAACATCACCCCATAATTTCGATTAATGAGGCAATACAAATCTAGATACGTTTTGGCATGTTTTTACTATATTACACTTTTGTTGCAAATTACCATAGTAATGTTTAAAGTTAAAACTATTACATTATATTAATTAGAATTGCAGATTCCACAAGTTTCCATAATGGTACACATACTGCTGATGAAAAATAAATGTATCATCAATTTTCATTTGTCAAACAGATTACCTATTCATTCATTTAGTGAATTTCTCACCTACTTTTTTGATATGTATTTTTATTTAAATCAACTATTTTGTGTGTGAGGATGTTTTGGAAACAATTTGCCTAATATTTTCAAAGATTACTGCATTTTGCTATGTTTACTGAGCCTGTCTTCATTGTCAGCCAACAGAACCATGTACACATATTTTGGTAAGTCAATAAAGTTAGTGTATTCTGAAGAATTTAAGGTTTTCAGAATCCCCTCTCCCTATCTACTTTGGGTTCAGCAAATCTATAAATAAAAACAGTGTAATGTTATCTTTAATTGAACATCTGTAAAAGTTTGAATAGGAGAAAAAAAACCAAATGAGAACATACAAAAACTGCATCTCAGGCAATGACCTCTGTTTACCCTACAGTTTGCTGTAAAAGCAATCAAGCTATCCAGTCAGCACAAATTGCTGTTTTTGTGAGTGGTAAAATAAAAAGTGGTCATCAATTATTTCCCCTCATGTTGCTTGTCCCTGAGAACACAGAACGAGACTGACACATACTTTCCTTTTTGTGTTTAGGGTGAATAAACCACCAAGCTATTTATAGTCTGATTAACAGGAACTGATTTTAGTCCCCATACAATCAATAACATCAACACAATTCAGTTTCCTTCTGCTGTAATAACTACGTTTTTAAACATAAAAGTTCAATTTCAATTTGGGACAAAACTGTATATTTTAGTCTTCAATTTAACAATTACTTTACACATGTCAGAAAGTTTTGACAGTTGTACCTTATTTTTTTATTAAAACAAACTATATTTTCTGTGTACATTCCACATACAAATAGAGGCTTTTTGGAAAAACGGTCTTGATATTATAAAAGTTCAATTTCAATTAGGGACAAAACTGTATATTTTAGTCTTCAATTTAACAATTACTTTACACATGTCAGAAAGTTTTGACAGTTGTACCTTATTTTTTTTTATTAAAACAAACTATATTTTCTGTGTACATTCCACATACAAATAGAGGCCTTTTTGGAAAAACGGTCTTGATATTATAAAAGTTCAATTTCAATTAGGGACAAAACTGTATATTTTAGTCTTCAATTTAACAATTACTTTACACATGTCAGAAAGTTTTGACAGTTGTACCTTATTTTTTTTTATTAAAACAAACTATATTTTCTGTTTACATTCCACATACAAATAGAGGCCTTTTTGGAAAAAACGGTCTTAATATTAGGATACGTTGCACCTTCAATTTTGGATCAGTTGGATCGTATCAAAGTGTTCACAAACACCTTTTGAAATGATTACATATTTTTCAACAAACACTGACTTCAAAACCTGAAATATATTTTTTCTAGTTAGTAGCAATACTGATAACGTCCGTTTATGGCACCAAGGGCAGTGGCCTGTCAGGTGATGATGTCTGCTGAATGGCAGTGGATAGGGATTCACATCATGCAATGGTGGTATCATGCAGTAACACTCCTTCCTTGCATGGCTGTCTTTACAACCATGACAACAGAAGTAAAATTCACTCACAACACATTGCATACTGCAGCTTATTAACCAACAGTCAAAGTGCTTAACTACATGTTTTCAAATGTTTAAAATGGGTGTTGAAACAAAATATGCACGTAATGAACTTTCATTTATGAAGAAAATAATCCCAATAATATTTTACGAAGAATTTATTTTAGTTCATTTAACAATGGATTTTTTGATGGTAATAATACCACAAGACAGCAATTGGTCTAGCGTTGCTGGTCATATTGTCAAAAGAATTTCAGATCTAATTAATCTGTGACTTCTTACAATCTCCTATAGTCTATTGCAGCTGCAGTATTCAATGGGCAGAGAGCGTTTCATGCAAAATACAATGTATGCTGAAATGCAAAGGGAAGTTACCACATTTCAGAAAATGATGCAGGTTAGTTTTTATGGTTACCATGGAGACATGTATATTAGTCCCCCATTCCCCGCCTCCTCAACATGCACATTGATGGAGAGGCATTCCAACATGCATGCATACACCACAACAAGTCTAGTGATGCTAGTGCTAGATGGTCAGAAAGAACTGTTTATTGCATGAAAAAAGGTGCTATATGAAAGGTCAAAGTGCAGAGAGTATACCAAAGAAAGCCAAGGAGTCATCAGACAAATTACACTACATACACAAAACAGGCAATATGGGCATCGTATTCTACACTTGATTAAAAGCACATTGACAGAACAAACTGTGGCAACATTGTGGCAATATATATATACGTTTTCCACAACTTACTACAGTAAGGTTGATTATTATCCTTATGTCATATTGAACTGTAAAAAAGTTTTCATTGTTTGCACAATAACAAATTCTATAGCTACTACAAATGTACTGCAAGTCTACAAGACAATATTGTGTAATACTATAAATAATGCAAAGAGCCACTATACTATTTTATTCATACAAGTAATGTTATAGTAAGACATAACAAGGACCATGGTGTTAAAAAACCAACACCATGCCACGTGATTTGATTGCAGCCTCGTACAGTAGCACTTATCATGCAAGGTAAACCATATGCCACACACCAATGTCAAGGTCACATAGCAATACACCACAAGATAATCAGACACTTTATATCTCTCCAAGCGATGCAATTTCAAAAACCTTTTCTTTCCAGATTGAGCAGTTGACGTGCACATATTGCCCTTCATTCCAACAAGCAATTCAAGTCAAATGGCCACATTTAACAAAAAAAACATTTTCTGTCTGTACTCCATATTTTGTGGCATACTGCTATCGGTCATCTATCTGAGAAAATAACCTCGTTCGAAGTGAGGCATTATGGAAAATAATAATCTCACACTAGGACAATGTGAATATGACTTCGCACAGTATGTAAACACCATCAACCATTCCATTCACACCTACCCAATCATGTTGGGTAGGACAAAATGCCTTGCATGCGCCCCATGCCATGCCACCATGGAAGAACTATATTGGCGGAGTAATCGCTGCCGCCGTGGAGTTTAGGTAGCAGACTTGACAAGACTTGTTACCATCATGAGGAACATACCCATTTTCATGCACATACACTGACAGGGGTTTTCTGTATTACCTTTAACCCTGTTTGAGGAGGTTACAGGGCAGATTGAAATATCATTTTCACAGGTCAGCAGGAGCAGTCTTTATCCCAAGTTCAAACAATTTACTTACTAAAACCTATGTTGATGTAGGTCCACTTTGAACTGTTTGTACAATCTGGAGTTGCGCCAACATGTGAAAATTGTTATTGCCAACCTGCCCAGGTTTTCAGTATTTGATCTTGTTTTGATTTAGCTCATAACGTCTCAAATGCACATATAATACATAACAAAGTCTTCACAACTAAAACTATTTGGGGCTGAGAGAAAACCAAAGAGTATTTTAACTGGAGATGATGCAAAATGGTGATCAATCAAAAAATTAGGAGGAATTCCAAATCTAGTCATCATCAGTCCTTTACATGATTAACCACAGATTTACACCAACAGGACAATGAACATTTACATGTTACACACACAGATCACATCAGTACACAATTTCTTGATTGATCAAGTAAATAGATTCAACTTTTGATTTTTAATAATTCAATGTTTTAATTGCGTATAATGCGCAAAAACCATATAAATAAATAGTTAAACAGAATTGGCAATAGAAATTCAAACTGTTTTAAAAAACTGAGATTTCAATGTGAAACAATAAATTCAACTTCGAACGATGGCATACAATAAGGCAGATATTAAAACCGGACACACTTTTTCCACAATCAGAATCTGATCAGCAAGTCCTGGGTGAGGGCATTCAGACAGAGTTGCCTACCCTTGATCATGTGGCATCTTGTCATATCCGCAGTGGATCAGTTTTCTGGGTTTTGAATTTAGTGAATAGCAAAGTTTCACAACTAAAACAGCTGACAATTTCAGAGGGAACATTCATATTTCTTGGAAGACTGTAATATAATGCTTGTCAATGCTAGTTTGACAACTCGTGGAAAGTGTATTTCAGTGTTAACATCTACCTCTCATTCAACCAACAGTGCTGACTAAAATATTTTTGAGTTGTCCAACCTTGACTAATCTGTTAATGATCCAGGAAAAGTCAAATGAAAACCCATTTATGAATAATTTCAAAACAAAATGCCTTCTTTCAAAGAAATTTCTTTATTATATTTCAATATATCAACTTGAGATTCTGGGCAGAATTATCCAAGGGCAGACAACCCAAGAATGATGGAACCCCAATCTCCATCATAAATAGTCAATATGTAACATACAGCACTTGATATTCCTCAAAAAGTAATCAAGGCAAGAATGTTTTGGCAAGGAAATGCTTCAGAATAATGTTTGTAATTGAAATTAGACCCAAACTTTTCAATAATGACCTTAACAAAGATTCTCCAGCACCCTGTTACTTGAATTGCAACGAGGAAGAAATATTGGAACCTCAACAAGTATTTTCAATCTTAGCACCAATCTTTTCGTGACAAATTCTTCTCCACTCACTCATACATACATCTCTCATACATTCCTATGGTACAATAACTAATGGGTCTCTGTTACCTTTACGCATCCTTTGCACACTACCACTGATTCTACGTAGACCTGGTAACAAATTTCACAAACCCTCCCTTTTGAAATATTTAAATCACTACAGATAGCCAATTGGCATCTTTGAAGTTTGGTGTTTCACATGATGTTACTACATGAATACTATCACTTTTTGGTAATTCTGGTACTGGCAAAGGGTTGTAAGTGTAACAAAGCCTGGATGTTTACTTACAGAATGAACTACTGATGGTTTCATTGTCGGCAAACCCTGCAATGTTTGGATCACATCGCAACTTTGCCCTTCAACATTTCCAGCTCAAATGTGAAAGTCACATAAAGACAGACACGACACAAGACAAAAGATTAGATAAGGATATAAATAAGATTTGAAGACGTGGACAACTTGTTTTCTGACTTTCACATATGATCCAACTGAAAATGTGTAATGGCCCTTGCAACAATAACAATGCACAAAACAGCACATACATGGGGTAGAAAGTATCGACTAGATAATGGAGTGTAAATGCTACAATACAGAATTTTGACTTACATCTCTAAATGATTAACTACAATTTGTATGAACGGTTTTGTGCATATATTGTTCATAATATATATCACAAAAATAACCATGTGCCCAACCATGGCAGCTCAAGAAATTTCTTGAAATCATGATTTGAAATTGGCTTCACTAAACAACACTACAGACTATATTCTATAAGCAGAACAGGGTCAAGAGCATGGTGGAGAGGATGGGCACACTGTTATAATCATTCTGGGCAGTAAGAAGCTCCAATTACTTGTAGGTCGATATCCTGTGGTAATGCAGGATGATCTATTTTGGCATCGAAGAAGTTTGACGACAAACTATCACTCACCATGAAGCCAATCCCAGCTTCGGGATAATGGTAACTGACTACTGGAACATATCTTTATACAGTGACTTGGTTTCAACATTGCACGATTGTGTTACCTGGTTGGAACACTCTGGCACTGCAAAAACACAGCTGTCTGTGTGTTGGTGCTAGGGGGCACCTGCTAAGTGGGTTCAAATATATGCGCAGATATATATATGAAGCAGCCCATATGGACACAAAGTTTGTCAATGCCAGTACTGGCCCAACTGACGACTATCCGAGAAGTGAAGGTATGAGATGACTATATACTTGTTCACTCCATATTACATGGTCCTATAATACTTGAGATTCATCAACAGATCAGCACTTGAAGTCCCCTTGTCCCAATCTACACCCCACAATGAGTTGTTAAAGATTATTTACACTTAAAAACAGAGTAATGCTCATTAAAATGCTTGAGGCAACAGAAGAACAAGAAGATGTCGGCTAGGTCTATGCACCAGGCTGTGAGTGTAAGACGTGTATCAAAATTTTTGGCAAAGATGAATATGTACAATGTGCGAAGACTAGGATTCAGTGATAATATGAAGTGAACAGCTGAGAACAGGATAATGAAGAACAATGCAGGATTGTCGGAAACAAGGAGGGACTTTTCAACAGTTTTACAAAACTTTCACAACGGATTTCGATTTTGGATTTTTTGTACAACATGTTGAAAGAGCCAAAACTACAATGCAACAGAAAGCAACATCTACAGAAGTTGATAAAGCATGACTGGTGACTTCGCACCCAAATTATATAGGTCTGCATAGGACAGGCTAAAAAATAAAGGTGTCTTTGTTGAAATTGTCCCTCTCTGATGCAACATTTATGGTGAGTATGCATACTTCCGTCAAGCAAGACAACAGCAAACCAAATGACTGGTATTCGTCTGCCATAGCACGTTCAGAATAGCCGAAGCTGACTTCGGGACAGCTGAGTAACACAAGTAGCTCTAACATAGTACAAATAAAATAACAACTTAAGAGGTAAAAGTAGATACATAACATGTACAAATGACTAGATGTGTTTGTTCAAAAATAAAGCTTGCAGTATGAGTATTCTTTACACAGTTCTGGCTCCACTTTCGGTCATTTCTACTTCCATGGTGTGGAGATAACAAGGTTCGAGGTTGTCGCCTACCAGGAACATTGAAAACAGCAAAGCAAGGTTGCCAGCTGAATTGTAACAGCCATTGCACAAGATGTCAAGTTTCAGCATTTGGAAGTCACAGCTCCATCCCCTCTTCAGCCTCTTCTGGTCACTTGACATGTCACATGACATGTACCATGACTAACCTCAGTCCCTGCCATTTTCATGCTTCTTGCAGATGTCCCGAGTTAGTATGGTGCAAACCTTTGGTATCCTCCTCGGTAGACTGTAGCCTGTTGGCAGAAAAGAATGTGTGAGATATTGAGTAAAATTTTCACTTGAAGTCATGCATGTAATCTAGGTAGCAAATACCACCTTATATGATGGATGTTTGTTTTACTTGATACGGGAAGTCAATTCCCAAAATATGACATTTATTACCTCGCGCTGTGCGAAGATATCGGATGTTAGACTAAGGGGCACACCCATCTCAGTTACCTGCTAAAAATAGATTCATATTTTAGATTATTCTAATAATATGGCCAAATAACCCTGGGACATCAATAAAACCCCACTGAGGACACTGAGGAATGAATGAGTCGTTGCTTGTAGGACAGCACACAAGTATGCTTAATCTTACTTGCACAATAAATACCCAAATTTTCATTTCAATCTTGAAATTAGTTGGCCATTATCATGGATCTCTAGCTTTGTAATACAGCTAGAAACAACATTCTACTTCTAAACTAAGCATGCGTAATAGAGAGCACTATCTTCCAATACATTGCAAATGAAACAATGCACTGTCACTGTACATGTTGTAAAAGTGAAATTAAGAACTAGCTAAGAATACACATAAATATGAAATATGTTTTTTACTATTGTGGCTTGTGCACATCAGCAGATGACCGAATTGAAATAATAATGGTAACAAATAATAGAACAGAAAATGAAATACAAACAAACACAAGCACGACAGAACTCTAACAATACCGTCCACATTTGCAACAATGACATGACTTGAATACTGATGCACAATTACTGATAATAACGGAACCTTTTATAAACTACGAACCAAAGCTACAAAAGCCGCATATAAACTTACGCCATATCCGGTGACAGGGCCAATACCATGTCCGAGGTAGGGGTCAGCGGCATACTCTCTTCCGTAACTGAAAACGTTGTGATGGATTACTTTTATGAGATGTTAATATAACAATTGTATTTTTGTCAACTGTAACTGAGATTTTCTGTGGGTTTCTTAAAAAATCTTTGCAAACATTACATTTTTAGTCATATTACTGAAATGCAGCAGAAGCCTCTATCCCTACCCAATAAGTCACAAGACTATACATGAGGCTACATCAGTCTGGTACTTAAACCTTAACTTCTAGCTAAAAGATGTAGTCTTGCTGATGTCACTAGAACTTCCTTATCAACCAGTCACTGGCTGGCAGACTATTAATTTCAAAAAATGAAAACCAGAGATCAGTCTGTAGAAGACAATTTTTTTATGAAAGATCCAAGACAAGTTTTGAGCACTATTTAATGTCAGCATTTGATTCTGGGGGGAGAGAGTGGGGAGTTTTTACCCTGCAGGGTATGTTGCGGCTGTGGCGACAGCTGGAATTGCATATCTGGTGGCAGCTCCTGGATACCCTGCAGCCGCCGCGTATGGCTGAGTAGTCACCAACTGTAACACAACACACACAACATCAAATACTATTCACCATGTCTTCCATAAAACAGTACCACTTCCTGTTTCACATCATCTGAGACTGACGTGTTAACCTAAAAACACATATAAACTGTTTTAAAATTTCCTGCTTTTGTTTGAAAGACATAAAGGAATAGCGCAGAATGTGAAAATAAAACCCCACTATATGAAGTTTCCATAAATTAACATTCTTGCATACCTCCTTGGAAATATCAAGGTTTAAACAAATACCATGTTTGGTTTGAAAACCATACTACATCCAGTGAAGAAAGGTGATTAGTGAAGCTAAACACAGCTCTGAGATGAAAAGAACCACTTTGTGATCAATGGAAAGACTTCAACCAGATGTCTTTAAATGCTATGTTCCCATGAACCAAGGCATGTCCACACAAGAAAGAAGAACTTGGTATTTCAGTGTATGACAACTGTATGTCCACAATCAACTTGCACCTGGCAGGCCAGACTCATGCCCAACCAATCAGACTGACTGACTGGGTTTTGTTTTACGCCGCTTTTAGCAATATTCCAGCAACATCACGGCGGGGAACCCCAGAAATGGGCTTCACACATTGTACCCTTGTGCGGATTCGAATCTGGGTCTTCGACGTGACGAGCCAACGCTTTAACCACTAGGCTAACCAACCGCCCCTCCAACCAATCAGAACCCAGTGTTAGTAGACCAAGGATCTCAATATTCATCTACTGATCATTTGAATAACTCATTTTCTCAATTTCTATGGTTTGTTGTTTCCATGACGATGAGTACCTGATATCTGGCCGTTGCAGCATCATACGTAGCAAGGAAAGGGTCTTGGTACACTCCACTGAAACATAATTGCATATCTTAAGAACCCCATCACTCCGACATCATACAGCGACCTAAACATTTATGTACAAACAGCTTGTATTTTATTTTCATGCACGAACAAGAGATTTATTTCAAGTCCATAAATCTTCCAGCGCCAATCATAAAAGACTTAAATAACAATGAGAATCTGCATTAACATTAAAGAGATTGTGGAAAAGAAACCCGAGAAGGTCATAGCATCATTTATGCTCTAATGGTATGTTCACTGTCTTGACAATGACACTTAAAATATTACATATTTTATCTGCCTTACAATTTCAAAAGCACTAAGCTGGATCACACTTATGAAATGAACTGTTACTTACGCTGCATACGGTAACGCAGTTGCTGTGGCAGCTAGTGGAGTGGGATGCCTGAACGCTGCTGCAGCTGCTGCAGCAGCGGCAGTGTAAGCACCACGTGCAGCTAGTCCTGCAGCTGCAGCCCGACCTCGCGTCAACGCGACACCTCGGAGCGCAGCAGCTGAAAATGGCCATGGTCACAAATATATTAGATCCCAGAAGACTCACATACCCAGGTTCTTCCCATACATGTGATGTTTTATATAAAGATGTTGTATGCACTGAATGTTTGACGAAAAGGGCAGTGTCTCATTAACATTCATTTTTCAAGTTACCATCAACCACAGAGCAATATTTTAACAAAGTCAATTTTTTTTTTTCAAATGTAAATAATTATATACTCATTAAATGTATGTAATACAAATACTGACTACAACAAGCATTCAAGCCAAATTATTTCTTCTTGATGATAGTAACTTGAAAAAGGGAGGGTAACTACAAACTTCATACAGTCACCAGTTTTTGATCAGTTATGCACACTTTCCCTACTCTACGCCATTCCCATTCCAAACAATTACCTTATTATGTACAAAGTGGGCTACAGGCCTTCAAAATTGATCCATTCAGCAGGCTTCACGTAACAATCGCCGGGAATTATGTTAATATCACATACCGCTAAAAATTATGGTAGAGTAGGCTAAAATCTATCCAATCCATGTATTTTGTTTTCCACTCAAGAAAAAAGCAAATAAAAACTTTACAGGGATTCATGACTGTTACGTCACTCCACAATGAGCATTATTTACAAATAACTTGAAGCCTGTTTATAGGGCAAGCACTGCACATCTTCATCACCGATGCATCATCAATGTTTTCACAATTCCCAAATGCATCACATTCCCCACGGGCGTTCACTCATGTTGTAGACACCCTAACGAGGGGTCCGTCTTCGGCAAAACAAAGACTATGGTGACCTCCCCTTCAGGGATATCTAAAACAAGGCTCCCAAACTGTCCCTATTAGACGAGCTTGAGGAACAATGTGAAGTTAATAGTTGGCAATCATGCTCCCTATGGACGGGGACCGAGACAATCAATACTTGTGGGTCTGGTTAATGGACTGGGGCTGAGGGCATCTTCTAACCCCTTAAAGTTGTTGACCAGCCCAGCAGACGATGCAACCCTTCAGCTAATTTCTTGAATCCCCATGCAAACAAATGATTGTATGGTATTAATCACACTGTGCTGGACGTTCTGCCTAATAAGATAAACAGAAAATTTGTCTGACTAAAACCGATAACCATGTGTAACTTATGCTACACGAATGCTCACATAGCTCATTTCCTAGAGTAGAGGGTATGTAAATTGATAATAATCTACAATTTTGAGCCCACTAAAGACAAATAACAATTTTACAGTCTGAGAGTATTTAACAATCAGATTATGTCCCAGTCTTATCTGGATACATCCTTTTGAATATGAACTAAGTACAGATAATATCCTTTCTTATAAATTGGTTACAAATAATCCTTTCAGGCAAATGTGCAAACGCTGAAGGAGTTCTCTTAAAAAAATCAATAAATTTTGGAGTTCCAGTAGCAAAATCAATTGGACAGAGGCCAACAGTGTTCTCCCTGTGGAATCTGCTTAACAAATAACCCACGCCAAGAGACCTTCTTAGTCCGGTATGGATGTGGGATGCTAATAAATTAGATTTTGGCATTAAAGCAGCTCAGCAAATGAGCCCGGTGAGCAATGTTTGAAATCAAGGTTACGTGTCTCAATTGACAATGTGGAGGGAAAAGAATGCAGATAGTTTACCATCATCACATCCAGCAGTCCACATGCAGGTCTTATGTATGCAGTGACAAAGCACGCGCATTGTGTTAATTAGAAAAAATGCCATATCACATCATTCGAGAAAAAAATTACCATCCATTGAAACTGGGTATCCAATTAAAACTTCAAACCCTATCATGATGGTTACAGCTTTTCAGCTGGTTAACATCCATGTTTCAAGATAATTGCAAAATCTTGTGAATGATGTGACTCAAATTACAATGACAATAATTCTTTAGTGATTCAAATTTGTTAAAAGGATACCCAGTTTAGCATTTTATCTGTGTACCATTCATTTCCACGACCCTTGCAGGAATATACTCAGCAAAATGATGGCTCCACTACATGTGGACACAACCCATACAGAAACGAAAAAAATAATACTGAAAATACATATAATACAAGAAACACGAGGCACTGGGTAAGTAGTGGGACTGCATGGATAGCCTTCAAGCTGACACTTGACAATAAAACTCCAATGACAAAAGCTGCTGCATATGAAGGAACTGGAGTGTTGTGGGCTAGTCGCTATCTGCACCCTTCTCTCTCCACACAGAACGTGGTTACTGGCTTACCATTGGGGATGGTTGGTGCAGCAGCTTTTTTGGTCATGACACGGGCAGTGGCATTGTTAACCTATTTCATAAAATTGTGGAACGTTAAAATTTAGCATTCTTTTTGTCACAAAAATCACAAATCTTCAAAACATAATGTGGACCTCTTTCCTCATTGCCTTTCGCACTTTAATAGTTAATAAAGAAAAGATGTTTTACAATTTGCATATTACAGTTGTGAAATTTTGAAATGTTGTATAATTACAAAATTATTCATAATTGTGTTACAGGCAATTCAGAATGGCATGGCTCTCTTTGAAAATGACTAATATAATTACAAAACTTGAGCTGTCACAATTAGAAAGAAATATGACGACTGAAAAGGTTAACCAGGGGAGAAACAGTTTACGCTGGCTCTCATTAATGTAATAATTGGCGACAGCCTTATGAAGTTTTTCTATTAAGTGCCAATTATGATTTCATTAATTACCTTGAAAATGCCATGAACTGCCATAATTTGTATGTAGATTACCATTTAAGCAGATAAAAATGGTAGCCATGTCAGGTCCACATATTAAAGTATCACACAGCCAATCAGCAACAAAAAGTAGGAAAATTGGGCTTTTTCTAATTTTGAAATATGCAAAGGCAATTGTCAAATTCTGCAATTTTACATTATAAACTGTTTCATTCACTGTTTTCAGTTAAGTCTGTGACCTTTAATCTTGCACTGAAAGTGACCTTTCACAGTCGCGATTACAGCCGAACTTGCAGTAGCAGCCACTGCTTGCCTACCAATTAGCCCGATTTTCCATCAAAATCTGGCTAACACCCTCAGGGCAGTCAGGGAGCAAAATAAGAGAAACCCAGTTCTATCTAACCAACAAACCGTTCCCATGGATACCGACACTTAGGACCAAAGTTTAAAGGAAAATGAATACAATCATGTTCAGCTTGCTGTTGTGTCCACTGAGCGACCTCTGATCTCAGAATATGGAACTCAGCAATACTGCTGCAACATTGTTTATATGCCACTTTATTATCTTCATGGAATTTTACATCTGGACATTTCTGAATGAATTTGCTGCATAATGTAACAACAGCTTTAAATGTTGCAGAAATAATTACGAAATGCTTCCCACAGATTACCAGTGAGGAATTTGTAAAGGAAATTCTAAAAATTCTTTACATTTAAGTGGAACGCACGTTAAGTAAACAAATTACGCTGAGGAAGGCATATCATCTGTTTACAGCGGAAAGCGCAACCACAAGTTAGAGCCGTCATAACCCTAACATTTGTCAATTCTTATTCAGATTGGAGTCAAGATCTACTCGGTTTCCATGGTGAACAGGTCCCTGATGGTGTTGGAGCCAGCCAAGAAAGCTATGATAAGTGCACGCTGCATGTATATGACCCTCAAATAATGGAAATTGCCCCATCTAGTTGGATTTGCAGTCTCAGCTTAATCAAATTCTCTCGTTACTGGATCAAATGCCTAACTTCTACAGTCATCAGGACAAAAGTCAGAATTTGCTGGCTATTTCTCGTTTAACTACAAAATCCCATGTCCGAAAGACAGATTTCCAAATTACAGGACAATGGAAGCCTAGTCCTTGTGGGGATATTGAATAGACAAGTTGTCTCAATTTGTCAGGAAAATATTTCGTTAGTTCTACAAACCGTTCAAATTGGCATTGATCTGTGAAACATATCTGGTTGAAACCCTGTCTTGGAAATACATGCAGTGTGCACTGTCAACATGAATGCCCTTTTCCTCACATACTAAGCTAGATTGGATGATACCGGTTAGATTTATGGGGGTATTTAGCTGAATGAATACCAATGGACATTGGACATACAATGATGGAAGTCTCCACTGAAGATTGGTCATTGAAAGAAGCATGATATTACTTCTTATGACGAGTAGCTGCATCTGAACAGACCTCCTTCCTTCAAACTAAAATACTGTAGAACTGTTGTAAACACTAGCACGCAATGTGAAACAGGAAGCTCGGAAATTTGCAAATGTTTTCTCCGTATGGACATTATATCTACAGTGACAGTGAGAGTACCTTGTACAGTCATACAACTATAGTTTTAATATTTTTGTTAGTCTTCGTGTATCTTGGCTGTTGGTCCAGCATTATGTGCAACTAACAAAGAAACTATCAAAATCTCGTCAATTATTCTACAACTATCACTGAAGTGAACCAATACTAGCTAAGATTAATCACTTTCAGTACTACAGAGAAGAAGGTCTGTCTAGAATGGCTACTTTGGACATTACAATATGGGCTGACGACGAATCACGTGACCATACTTTAGCGTATCTACCTACCAGTTAATCCCCCATTTATCTTTGCATAGGTGCGCAACTTTTCGCCTTTCCGCTTTTTTACCACTAAGGGAATGAAATGAAGCCGAAGATTGCACCTTTCTCTAATGTGAGGTTCTTATATAAAGGATAAACACGTAAAAAGTCATTAAAAATGGTAAACACAATCAAAACAGCATCAAGAAATGCCAGACAAATGTGAGCTATGCAGAGTTAAAAGTTGATATGAAATTTTCATTGGCGTGCATAGGAATGCATGGTTCTGACACAGACAAACATACTTGTCCTCTATTTACATAGAAGGGGGCCTAGTCACCCATCTTCAGGACTCATTTCCGCCACAATACGCTGACAAATCCTAGGCAGTGAGAAAATCTCTTAAGAAACACGATTCTGATATTTTGGAAAACCCTAAGCACAAGACATTACAACAGTACACGACATACACTTAACAGGCATTTCTTCATACTGCACAATGTAGATAGGAATACTTAGCGAGTCTCATTTGTGCTACCACAAATAGTAAAATACTCATGCAGGCACCTCTATCTTTCGTCCCTCAACCACTGTGCCGTTCAATTTCTCTCGTGCTCGGTCTGCATCCGAGCTATTTGCGAAAGTTACGAAACCGAATCCCTGCATGCACAAGGAAAATAAGGAGCATGCATTAAAATCGTGCAAATCAACATAAATTATATGGCATTTTTATTGTCAATAATTCATCATGCATGATTTTCATGTATGATTTCTATCAAATATATGAAATGGGGGGTGAGGGGATAGCATGCTTAGAAACTAGAAGCGGCATGCTTCTTCATGCCTCTAGGCCAAATATACTAACAGATGCCACCCCAAAGGGGACGAACAATTTCAATACTTAAGGCTTAGGGGCGGGGGTATTAATTTTTGGTGCTTCCAAGTCAGTTAGTCAATTTTGTTTAATTCAGATTTCAAAATTCAAATATGCTTGTGAAAGTTGTCTGTGTGCCTTTAGTAAATTCACAAATAAACTTTTCCCGTAGAAGTCCAAAACAAATTGAAAGAAAATGCAAATGCATTTGCAGAATATGAACGAGTTAGAATGAGTCAAAGGAGTAGAAGCACAACATTAGCAAGTGAGGAAATCTCTATTGGCGCCCAGAGACCTCTGTTAAAGAGGGATATACTACAATAAGAGAAGGCTTGCAAACAGATGTTATATACACCTTGTATACACTACACTCAGGGGGCAAGGAGCACGGAATGCTGCAAGGAGCATCACAAACAACTTTCCAACAAGATTTGGTAAGACAGCACGTGACACACAAACTAATTTGAAAACATGTAATGGAAAATGACTTATAGCATCAGTTCATTTACCTCCCCTTACAAGAGCCGGCAAGGTGAGGGCGCTTCAAAGTAATAACGATTAAGTGAAAACTTGATTTCTTATCAATTTGATATTTCAGATATGAAACAGAAAGTGATTCAGTTAAAAAAAGAAAGCTTTCTAAAAAAATTCAAATATTTCGAAACTTAGAAACATGATTTTATCATTGAAATACTACAAAGCATTTGAATCGCCCTCTCCCAGCACATGCTGCAAAGGAGCAGTACATCTTCAATATTTAAACTGCTCAATATACAAGGCAGATGAAATCATTGACATACAATTTTTACATATGCAACATCCTATTTGAATAATAAATCAGTGAAATATAACATTAATTTGAAAACATTCAATTTGTTTCAAGCTTAAGACATTTGGTCTTGTATACATGTCAGTGAATAGACAATGAAATTTTGCAATAAACATGAACTCATGTTTCTCTTCTTTTAGATAAACCCCAACTTGGGAAACTGACAATATACAATATATATCACACTGATCTTGATGCCAAATCAAATAATTTCAAATTCATAATAAACATACATGTATTTAGACAAATAAAATCATGGGTAGAAATACAACTGCAGCAGTCATAATTAATTTTGCATTCCACTGACAACGGAAAAGTAAATAGCAAGAAATCACTTTCTCCATAGACATGTGGTTATAAAAGTGGCGCCAAACAAACGTGATAACCAACCAGATGACTCCTCATTGCATCTTCACCATGTGTATTTCCTGAATACATCTATCACAATGTATTGACCATCCACACCAGATGTGGAGCACCTGTGAAAGATCTCCTGTTACAGAAAAGACTTTCAGGTTGCTGATAGGTATTGATCATTCCTACATTGTCAACAACAAGGTAACACCTTTCACCCAAGGAGGGAAACGGCCACAGGTGTAAATCACTCCCTTTATACATTGATTCGAGAAGAGTGCCATTGGAAAAATCATTTCCTGTAAATAGTTTAATTCATGGACTTTGTGAGGCTATCCCATAGTAACACTTGTGTATTGTGTATACTGCTGCGGTTGTATTTCTAGTCGATACTCAATGTTCAATTACCATGTATCTGATGTTTCTTTTCATAACTGGTAATTTAATAACATGTGCCACACCAAGTGACGTCTGAATGTGATTTGTAATCAAAACAAGACTAAAATATACCAAAAGCTCACAATAGCGAGAAATGTCACAAGTGGTGCCTTATTATATACTGAAGGGAACAAATAAGAACACACATGAAAGTACATGTGTCCCTAAATTTTCCCCCTAGATTTTCCCCCACAGTGCAATACAAAGCACGTGAAGAGGACTGGGAAGGAATATAGAAACACTTGCACTCTCATGTGTTCCCTTATTTGTTTCCATCAGTATACTAACCAAGTGTTGCTTTCAATTTTTGTAATTTAGTGATCACAATTAATTCTTTTCATTTTTGCTTTTTAACTTTTCTTCTTAATTAATAAATAACAACAATGTTCTCTTGGTATGGCACAGTACTGCTGTCACACAATAAAGGATATTGGATGGAAGGAAATAACCTTACCTTTGATCCCCTTTCATTGAAAATGATTTCCACATCTAAGATTGGGCCAAACTGTTGTTCGACCAGAATGAAAGAGAGAAAAATTCAAATTGAGAAAAAGACATCAAGCTTTCCAATTTCCTTTGATATTCTGCAACATGTAATCGGTTCTGCATACAGCATCATATGTATTGTTTGTTGTTTAATGTCGAACTCAGTATTCCACTGCCCATGGTTCTATATATATTATGAATATCATTCCTTTTAACTATGATGACATTTCAGTGAGGGTTGTCACATTCAGCATGGTAAATTATATTATCCATAAAAAGAGCTTCATGTATCGCTGAAAGTTACTCCTTATTCAAACCATACTCACCCCTAAGAGTTGGCGCAAGTCAGCTTCTCTGAACCTGAATGGAATATTTGATACATGCAATCTCTTGGGTCCTGAGTTGGGTCCTTGCGAACCCTGTGGCTGCGGAGATGACGGCTGGATATCCCCTTCCACGGGCAAGTCTGTTTGCTGAAATACAACAAGGGACCATTAACACAGAGAAAGAGGACTAAGTCAAGCCATTATCATTAGTGAATCATATTACGGATTTTTACTCTAGGAAATGTTTTCTTGATATACATGTTCTGTTTTCTCTCATATTCTCTGATAATGATGTTGAATTATGACATTGAAACCACATTTAAATTATGTTACACATTCGTTAAGTTTATTTCTTAGTTGAACAGTTGAAACCACACAGTGCATTGTAACTGTGACATAAATAAAATCAGAATGTATATGTTAATAATACAAAGCACATTGGTTAGTAGTGGAAACCAAGAAAAAAGCAGTTAGAGAAAGAAATTATAAGAGAGATGATACATAATATAAAAAGGACACTCCAATTTTTGCATACCTCGAATGAAGACAAGCATCCAACCACTTATTTGAAATGCATCATGTTGTCAAAGCAGTTTATTGACAAATTATAACTTATATGTTTTATACGTTTTGGGTATAGATCCTTGCACCACTGTAATACTAGACAAATGATTCATCATGTCGTTATCATGTTTCTACATCATCCATAAACTGCCTGCATATCAGGGTTCTCAGCTCAGCTCAGCCATGGAAGCTGACAGGTTTACAGGCAACAAAATGCCATTATTTTCCCCAAGAGCCTTAAAGTAACATGAGACTATGAAACCTTACAGTTATGAACATCATTTTCAAATGTCAAATGTTAGCAATTCCTATTTCTGAAGAAGATAAACTGACTGTAATATGCTATGGGCAAGCAAACAGAGCTTCTTCTCCGTCAAACACCATACATGACCAAAGGCCAGTAGTGACTCGCTGGGAAGAATCTCTAATTCCGACCACAGCCTGCCAGCTGATGAGTCACCCACTTCCATAAGAATGGAGGCAACAATGCTGTCTCAACGCCAGTGTCAAATTGCCTAAAATCGCTGCAGACATCAGATGGCCTCGAACCAAATTAAACTTCCTTTACTGATCAACATGACAGGGGTCTAATGATTCTCTATACTGAAACTTGATAACGCAAATAAACTGATACCAAGCATCCATAGTTGATAACTGAGACAAAATTTCTTTAACTGTCATAAGGGAGAACTGGCATGCATGGATGCAGAGAAGCAGTTAGTCCACAAAAATTAGTTAGTTTGAAATGACATAGTATTGTCTGGGAAAGTATTTCTGTAATGTTCCTCTGCAATTTTTGTGTATGCTTACAAGTCATTCAAGGCTTGTATGTCACCTACCATCACCAAAACATTGCTAAAGAAAATGGCAAGTAAACAATCTTTCCAACCTTGCAGCAAAAATACCACAAAGTCTACAGACTCCCTTCACGAAGCCATTTTCTGGCTGGAAGCCAAGCTATCATCTCTGATGGTATGCAAGTTAAGATGATATGAATATGCAGTGAGATGGACATCTGGTAGGCATAGGAGACACACGCAGAGAATATAACAAGCATATATGTCATGCTTAACAACCATGTCATGCTTAGCACACTATGCACAAACTGCATACATTGCCATGTGATAAATGTTAATAGTCTAGTGTTGTAGCAAGGCTTAATGCACATTAGAGGAATAAATGTTGCAAGAAATAAGGACAATTCCTTTGATTAAATAACTTTTATACACTTACGAGTGAAATTATGGTGAGAATTGAGACAAATGACTGACCTTCTGTACAATTCTATGGAACTGACTACCATGGGGAAGGATGGGTTAACATGGTAAATATAGTGATTGTAATCCCACATTTCTAATGTCATGTTATATGAAGGGCATAAATTTTTTTCTACATGCAGAAATTAAGTTAGTACAACCCAACACCAATCAACCAAAGAACTCCACCAAATGAACGATTACGAACAACAACAAGCACATCTATAGTTCATGCAATGGTACTTCCAGACTGACGACGTACATTAAAGGGCCGAGCTGCCCTTACCGTCTGCTGCTCTATTGCTCCATTGGGCGTGACGGCAGCAGGCGATGCGTACACGGTGGTTGGAGGCTGCTCGGATGCCACACTTGTGGCTTGACTGGCGACAACTTGATGATGGTAGTCTTCGAGGCTGGTCACCCCTGGGACTCCTGGGACTGTTGGCACGCCTGTAATGCCCGTCACCCCGGGCACCCCCGTCTGTGGATATGTGTATGTCGGAGTCATCTGGTTTTGCACCATGTGCTGAAAACAGAGAGAGGTTCATTAGTATATAGCAACAACATCAAGTTCACTCACAGAACGCTAGGATTTCTTGAAACCAGGATTAAAACATCTTGAATCAAAAGTTCAAAATACACAAAACTTTGCGAAGTTATGTACCGTCACAACATCCATGATTAGATGGTTGGTGATCTTCTCACTAACAAACTATATCAGTCACAGAGTCTACAACATGTGGTAAAAGGCAGCAACCATGTTTCACTTCCCCACCAGCAGATTTGACTGCTCAGACTGAGTGTTTATTGACACGTAAATTGGAAACCACAGCGAAGGGGATGGTTCCTGTTCCAACATGGCTGATGCCTATCATCTGACTGTTCCTGCTATCATGATGATGCAGAAAGACCATGAATCCAAGTACTACTACAGTATAACTAATATCCATTACCACATTATGCAGCTACCAATGTTTGCAAATGGCATCACATTCTCCTACAACATGTTACATCTAATGGATCCGGTTACAAATTCAAGAACAGCTTCACAACGCCCCGTGTGTTTCCGCCATCGTGATGCATCTACCCTACTTATTCTGACTTCCGATTAGGCACACAAATTAATTATTGAGGTCCATGCATGAAACTCCTTTTCCCTGTGGTGTCGAAAATGCAGAAAAACGCCCGCACAAATTAGACCCCAATCTCCAATCAATACTTTCAGCAGTTTCTGTGATGCCTGCTATCTCGTGAGGAAACTAATGAATGGAGGCAAAGTTTTAAAGACAACCATATCACTTACATATTTTCACACTCTTTACGAATTAAGAAGTTACACTTTTAAAATTAAGGAGATCAATTATTTATGTTGAATCACCAAAGCAAAAGATTTTCATGAAGACATGTCATGTGCTGATGCTGTGAACTGCATGCTTTCATTTCCAGTAACACAATTCTGTTGATTCTGATACATGAATATTCACGAAAAGCCTGTTAAAAACACTGATGGCAAAGCTATGAAGTTGCAACTTGATTTGATGATCCGGTTTTATGCGGCAAACTCAATGAATATAAATCATGCACAAGATAAGCATTAGAATAATTGTTCTTCTAGTTTCACATTTTGTAAGCAGTAAATCATAATTCTACTATTTGTAAGCAGTTCTATCCCATAAATATTAAATGGCCTGATATTATTGTACTCACCCACATTTGATGTTACCAAAGTCAAGAGTTTGGATGAAGAGTTACTACTCAATGTAACTGAACAAGTTCCTATCTACCACACTGCTAGGCATTGAGAGGAAGGAAACTACAGCACACTGCCCTACCCTCAAACAGTAGTCATATTCATTACGCATCGCTTGAAAATGTTAATAATGCCTCCTTATGTCAAATATACTAATTCAAATGTCAAAAATAATGCCATAATGCCTTGCTAATTTGGTACGCCAGTTGCAGTTATGAACAGTTAATTAAACACAATTACCTAATTACAGAAAATATCTAATTTCGTATTCCAACCGTGACTATTGAAATAATAAGCAGATTGAACTCTGTATTTATTCCATGAGGCACAAGCAGCGGCCATTTTCTCCCTGCCATGTGTGCGATAAACACAGTGATTGACCTAGATCCTCCGTGCTGATATAACATCAAGATCATACATACATACCAGACGAATATTCCGACAGTCTTCCAGACCAACTTGAACACCCTTTTCCATAGCAAATATACCCATCCTGCTGCCACCAATATTCACACGATGGACTGGCATTGGAAAGCGTTGGTAATTTTCAAAAGTACTAGATGCAATAGGCACTCCAACACAGAAAGCAATTAGAGTCAGTGGCAAAAACCCAGGGGGATGGCGAAGCTCACACAATTATGGAACTGGAATGCCAGGTCCCTCTGCCCCCCTGTCAGCCATTTCTGAGGGTCATGGGCTTAGTAACTGATGAGAATGTCAAAACATAAATTATTCATAATCAATGGAGGCGCACACATCTCTATTCAGACTGCCCCTTACTATCAGACAGCTCTTCCTCTCAAAAACATTGGACTGTCTTTGTGGAACACAACTGCTCGCTGAGACAATTTACTGATCGGCAGGGGAAACAGCAATTGGGAACTTCAATATCGATATTTGGAGGGTTGGGGAAGGAGTCTGAGCATTGATATCTAACTGATACTGACCTGGGCAAAGGAAGCAAGAGCTGACTGGTGAGCCATCTCGGTTGGAAGAAGCATTTCCATGTTTCAAGATATGGGTAACAAGTACAAAGAGTCTTTGAAAATCAAACCTGTCTTAGTTACAATTGAATCTGACTAATCAAATACAAAAACTTAATAACCAAGATGGCAAGCCTTAATTATGTCTTAAGGAAATGTTGCTTGTGAGATGCAGAGGTCAACTGAGGGACGCCCAAATCTGTTCCTGTTTTATAGGGATGACCAGACAATAAGCTGGGCTGAGCAGGAAACAGACTTTGACAACTCACTGATTAGCCCCCACTGTGACACACACACACACACACATGTGCTGCTCTGTATATGTACCAATATACTCCTGCCTGACAATCTGGACTCTCCTTGCACTCAGAATTAATTAGCACTTGCAACGTGTGTATATCAATATCCTGGGGGGCGATCACCTGGAACAATGTACCATCAGTGATACAGCAGGTTGTACACTCTTTGTCAAACACAATCTACTTATTACCACTCTGTTTGGATACATATGAATCAATGTTTCTCCCTTGATATGAGCTAGCAATGTCATTGGCATCATCAATTTAAAGTCCACAAATGTGACACAAGTCTTTGGTGATGGCTTTGAAACTTGAGACTAATCCTGTGTTAATATTTCAAATATTCTTGGTATTGTATTTGGTGATGTATACAAAAATGACAAATCCAATATGAGCTTATTTCCCATCATATAACATTTGTCAGCAGGTGGGATAGTGTCATATAATGATGGCCTTTTCCACTCAATATTCAGCTCTGTCACTCCACACGATCACTCCATCATACTATTTTCTTCAAACTCTGCAACACATCGCCATAATCACCAGTTCATCTGCCTATATCACAAGTAAGAGTGCTGTAAATATTCCAATTCCCCTTGTTCTGGAGCTCTCTCTAACAGGATAGACACAAATAGACACAGGATCACAACTTATGACAACAAATGACACATATAACAGCTGTCGCGCTTTGCAAAATGACATATCAGCACAGCCTCTTCCATTGTTCTCAACGCTGTTTCCATAGAAACACTTTTAAATTGGCTGACTGGGCATGTGCTCATATTCATGCAGCAATAATCAGTAGATACATCCTTACTATGTATGTATCAACATAAAATCAGTCGTGATATTGATCTTGAATTACAATACATCATACACTGGATGTAATTATGCTCTGTCCTAAAGGCGATTGGTTAACTGATAATGTTTTACAATCGTAAAGCACTGATGACGTATAAGATCAGAATTACTCATTTTTCATCTAAAATTATTGTTCATGATATTACAAAACATGATTTTGCCAAGACAGCGTGGTCTATCAATTAGGGGCAGTAAGAAGAAATGCTACACCATTATTTATCACAAGATCTGAAATGTTACTTACTAATGCCACAGTGTGTTTTCTCATAATTTGCGAGTTCCAGAGATGGCAATATGTTGATGCAATGGTTTCATGTCCATCAGCATGAGCTTAACAGTTATGAAATATCACTGTAAATGTCAAAGCCATAATGACAGAGTTTACCCCCATCATGCCCATTAATCCTGGAACTGTCAACTCACACAAGAGACTCTCAACAACATACCTTTCTATTTTTACCCATAGATCTTGTCGACAGATCCCAGTTTACAGTCGAAATAAAGCATATTAAAAAAGATACTTTATCAGTACAACAGTTCAATACAAGTTTATTTATAAAATGCCCCTGCAGACAATTATTTAAAATAGGTTCCAAATGGTGTTTTGTTCTAATGTCCAGTCTTTCTTAGACTACTGCAATAATGCTTCCTTATTTTCCCTATCTAATTGAATCATATACAATATGTTTACACACTCCCCCCTTCTAAAATCAAGTATAAGTATACCTCCTAAACATTTGATCTCAGATAATCACACCAAGAATCCCCCCCCCCCCCCTTTGCCAAAGTGCCCTTCCACATATTGCTTCTCTTATTACACACCTCACCTAACCACCTTTGAAGTCAACACCCCCCACCCCTCACTCCCTTTCTTTCAAGTTAATTAGTATGACAACTACAAAGAGTTCAAGGCCATCTGGTTTCAGTAAGCCTCTTGCGAGTTGGAAAAGATGGCTGATTGACTGCTCAGAAGGAAGAGTACAATTAACACTGTAAGTCTATAATGCCAGGGCACACATGTTATTCTACAGCTAACCAAGATTTTCTTTGGCAATAATTTGATTAACAGTTGAATGTCAAGCTGTTCTAAATATACGTATTCCTTTAACATAACACCATTTGTCATAATATCTTATTCTAGTCTGCTGGAGAGATTGAGCATGTGAACAAGTTTTATCTATATACATGTACATATTCACTCTGTGCCCTCAACATTCACCTGATGAAGGAGCGAGAATTAGCCTGGAAACGTATAAAGAATAAGAAGATGTTGTTATCCATATAAAATGTGTCATGTATTCATTTTCGTCCAACTTCTAAATGCCTTTCAAGCACTTCAATATTCCAGCAAGATCAGGATGAGGGTCACCAGATATGGATTCACCTATTGAACTAGGGCTCATTGTGTATTGAGCAAATGCTTTTATAACTAGGCTACCTGGACCAATGGTTACTTTCTGAAAATAAATAATTTTGATATGAACACATAACTCTATTTAAACTGATAAGGAGCCCGAGTGAGAAGGGCCTGGTCTTAAAATCTAGACTTGCTTCATCTGGTGCTTTGGCATATCAGATTGGTGGAAGGGCAAAAATACATTGGTTCAGTGACTGAGTGACAGAGTACTCGACT